ATACTGCTTGCAGCCAATGATGCATGAAATCTTTTGTATAAGATGATGTTATGGAGTAGGACTGGATAAGTCTGACTTCTTCCTACTCCATTCAAACATGTACTAGGTATAAGCAAACTGATTCTGGATTAGCATTGGTTGGATTTGTGTAATTATGTGTGTGTTGATGTCATTTGTTCTGCATGTTTGAAAGAATAAATCAAATCAAATCCACCATGATTAACTTATCCACACGTTTTCCGTCGTCGAACATCTGTAGGTTGCAGCTGTCATTTATTTACAACACTCTTCTTAATGTTCGATAACGACTGTGTGAAGCCAAGTACTTTATATGGAGAGTAACCTCACCCCTGGAGAAAAACCAATATCATATATGTTTTGAAATGTTTGTCTGCTTTGTATACCAACATACAGTTGATCTATTTTTAAATGATTATGCCCACTTAACCTATATTTCTTAATACCACATAGCTTTTTGTTGCAACATAAACAAAGTTCTGGTACCTAATTTCTACTGCATGCCTTAAACTGTAGTTCATGTTCAAAACATGAAATCAGTTCATCATCACGTAAAACAAAAAAACACAAATCCTGCATGTTCTTATGCAAAGCATCGCATTTTACGTGTTGAAATATATAATATATATTGTTTTTATGTGGATGACATTCGTGGCATTGTTTTATTTCTGAAGGCAGGATTCCTTTGTGCAATATCTTGCATAATTTTTGTCACACTAAAGAAGGTGTATCTGAAATGAAAAGAAACATCTCATTGATTTGGCTGTGCAAACCCTCTTGTTGTGCTTTTGGATTATTATTTTTGTCATAAATACATCCATAAAATACAATAGCCTGAACACGCAGAAAGGATTTTAGTCAAAAGTAAATTTGCAACAGGCTTGTTTAAACACATGTAATACTACTGATATATGTAGCAGTAGTAGTAGTAGTAGTAGTATTACATGTGTTTAAACATGTACATAAGTTATAAATTATTTTGGATGCTGGTAACTTGATTTATCTCTCATATACTTTTCAGCAAGTATACATGTGTATTGTACATGTATGGCTAACCTTCAGTATTGTTTCAGATGTGGCTCCCAACAGCAATAAATCCCTTTCTGCAGTGTAATGTGTATACAGCACCAACACACTACAAAGTCTCTGGAGAATTGCTGTTTCATAGCCCCCCCACCCCCCCTTTTCTTTTTTGGTAGGTATCCCTGACTAGGCCTGGACTAAGCAGACTGTTCTGAGAGGAAACGGATAACAAACGGGAAGTGAACATGGCAGGGACCTCGGGCTTCTTTTCCAATGGACCTGTTCCGTGGATAGACAATGACACTGAGATGAACAACCTGTACAGAGACCTGGAGCTGGGGACAGTACTGACTCTGTTTTATTCAAAGAAGTCCCAGCGGCCAGAGAGAAGGACATTTCAAGTTAAACTGGAGACCAGGACTGTTGTCTGGACTCGGGGCACGGATAAAATAGAGGGAGAGAGTGAGTAGCATGCAGACATAAACACACACACACAGTGATTTTCCTGGGTCCTGGTTGTAAATGTTGCAATGCTCGTGTTAGAACTAGTTAGTTTACATACATTCAGAAATATGATGACTACAGGTTGTTGTAAGGGGCTGGAATGGCACACAGAAGACTTTGTGAGCGCATGTGATGATGATATGCTGGTATCCTAAACAGCTAGTGAATGATGTCTTTTAGGATTGAAGAAATCACTGCCCAAATCCTTCAGTTCCTAAAAACTTGAAATATGTACAGCTTGGTAAAACTACATATCACAATACTGTTGACTAAATGCATTGATCTTACTGAGGTGACAGTATTTAGGGGTGTTGTTGCAGCCTTCAAAAGGTAAGAACATTTTGAGAAACACGGAATATGGGGAAATTGAAAGAGAAACAGGCACATGTTAGTAGTTCATTTTAAATCATCTAATAACAACACAAACAAATCTAGCTTCCAGTACAAGGAAAATATAACATTTAAGCTATATATCAACATTTAAAACAAATACCATTGTTCCCTCAAGATAACAATATTTCATGTTTTATTTCAGTTACTATTCTGTCTCGCTACAAGGATTTGGTTTGATCGTGTGGATGTTCATGTTGCTTAAAACTCCAGTTACTAATTTTATTTTGTCACATTGTAAATATTTTAATTTTTTTTGAAAACCTAGCTGTGGATATTAAAGAAACAATCAGTGCAGTCCAGAAGCAGAGGAATCACATCTCAGATGCACATCCAGGGTTGAAGATAGGAAGAAAGAATGTTTCTTGGAAGTCTTATTTATAGGAATATACTGTAATTCACATAAATCACCAGGAAGTCGACATTCAGGTTAATCTTCAACAAAACAGCATGTCTAACTGAGGACTCGCAGGGCTTCAGCAAGTTAAGTTGTCTGTGTCTCGCGTAGCAGGATGCCTCATGCACAGCTGCACTTTGCTCCGGATGCTGCAAAAAGAGTAGCCACACACACACAAAAGATGGTAGGTTGTGTGTGTGTGTGTGTGTGTGTGTGTGGTTTTTATTTATTTATTTATTTTTTTTTTTACAGCTGTATTATCTTCTTTGTGATGAAGGGTTTCATACACACATGAGCTCATAGCTGCCATTTGATACTCCTGAGGGGCTCAGTTTGACCTAGGTGGCTCATTAATGTACAGAAATAGAATCTGAAGGTTTTTACTGGAAGTCTATGATCATTCGGGAACAATTTGGCCCCCCTGTATTTACCCCTTATCGATGGCAGTGACAGAATGATGTACATTCACTTTGGAAACAGCACTCTGGTTTGTTGCTGAATATAACGTGCTGAGAGGTGTGCCCGTTTGTCCCTTGATCAAAGCGTATTTTGCACATTTTCTCTCCTCCCATATCGAGTTCTCTTTTTTTAGTGGTATTGTTGTATTCCTCCATCAGATGCTTGTTTCATGCACATGAAGTCTTGTCAACCAAATAATAGCAGATATTTGTTGTGGCCCTTCTATATATTATAATATGCAATATCAATAAGATGGTAGGTCAGGCTTGATGAAACAGGATGTGGTTTTGCAGAGGAATTGGTGCTAACAACCTGCATTACATGTCAGAAATGTGAAGTTTGAATACCTTTTAGAAGACATAAACAATCAGAGTCTTTTAGCTGAAAAATTAGGCCCAAACTTTACTTTACACTGTTTATATATATTTATAAATATATTGTTTGTGTTGATGCTGGAGACTTTTGTGAAACATCACCAATAGTACACTTAGTAAATCTCCAGAGCATCACACCAGTCATCTTTACAACTACTGATACCGATAACAATGCAGCGTAAATGACAATTTGAATCATGTTTGAGTGAGTATCATTTAGCTACTTTATCCTGAGAGTAGTGCTGGGTATTGAACTTCTGTACTTTTATGGCATCGACCAAATTACTGACTTCAGTACCGTCGAGTACGCTCTTCTACATTTTTCTTCATTGATGTTAATGTTAACAGAACTTAAGGCTGTGGTATGTTTACTTTTTATGTTATGAAACTGCTTTTGAGTGCGGAAAAGTGCCAAGGAACTGAAAAATAAGATGAATTATTGATACCAAAATGTGTAAATATTGGGGCTGCATGATAAATCAATTTGTGAGCATGATTTAGTTCCCTATGTGATCTTATAGTCTTATGTGACAATGATTCTGCCGTGTTTGCATTAGCACAGAGATGCCTTTCATCAAACCAAGTGCTCCCTTTTCCTCGCTATGCTGCGTTATCCAGTAGCAGGAAGGCCTTACATCATGTGATGAGCTGTAGACAGAAAGAGAAGACCGATGCAAAAACAAATCCAACATGTTTGACGTTATGAAAGATACAGTGCCTATAAAATGTATTCACCCCCTTGGATGTTTTACCATTTTATTGATTTTATAAATCACTCGTGGACAATATAATTTGGCTCTTATGACAAAAAAAACCCTCTAATGTCAAAGTGAAAATGGGTTTCTACGAATTAATGTCAATTAAATAAAAATATGGAATGTGAAATAAGTGCATAAATATTCAGCCTCTTCAAGTCTGTGTTTAGTAGATGCACCTTTGGCTGCAATCACAGCACTGGGTCTGTGTGGATAGGTCTCTGTCAGGCTTGCACATCTGGACACTGCAATTTTACTCCATTCTTCTTTGCAAAACCGCTTAAGCTCTGCCAGGTTGTGCGGGGATCAGGTGTGAACAGCCCTTCTCAGGTCCAGCCACAAATTCTCTATTGGATTGAGGTCTAGGCTTTGACTCGGCCGCTCAAGAACACTCACCTTGTTGTCTTTAAACCATTTATGTGTAGCTTTCACTGTATGCTTCGGGTCATTGCATCGTTGTCCAGGCTGCAGCTGGTGCAAAATGCCGCTGCCCGGCTGCTCACTGACACCCGTCGACATGCTCACATTACCCCAATCCTAGCGTCCCTTCACTGGCTACCTGTGAAATGGAGAGTGCAATTTAAGATTCTGCTATTTGTGTTTAAAGTCTTGCATGGATTTGCCCCTCCATATTTATCAGAGCTTCTATCCAGATACTTTCCTCGGAGATCATTACGGTCGTCCGCCCACCTCACCCTTGTAGTC